CACCCTCTCCAGGACAAACTTGTTTGTTCTCCTAGCAGTCCATGGTATATTCAATACTCTTCTCCAGCACCACAGCTCAAAGGCATCAATTCTCTTTCTGTCAAGCCTATTCACTGTCCAACTCTCTGATTCATAGCACGTAATTGCAAAGACTATAGCCCGGGTCAGGCGTACCTTAGTCTCCAACCTGACGTCATTGCTCTTCAGTACTCTTGAGAGGTCCCTCACAGCCGACTTTCCCAATGCAATTCATCTCTTTATTTCTTGGCTGCTGTTACCAAGAGTGTTGATTGTGGAGCCAAGCAAATTAAAACTGTTAGCTAACTTTAATCTCTTCACCATGTATATGTATATGTGTGTATGTGTGTGTGTGTGTGTGTGTGTGTGTGTGTGTGTGTGTGTGTAAATAAATCACATCTGTTGGGTCTGTTAATTGCCTCTTAGAGCGAAGCCCTTTTCGGGCTCCTTTGTGTTCCCTACCTCTTCTCAGGCAAGGTAGCTCAAGTTCTTGGCGGGCACCCTGTTCCTGGAACAAACCTGGGTGGTGGCCGCAGTCCTGGCCATTCTGTAAAGGCTGTGCGGTGTCTGTGCCAGATCCCTCTCCCTATCGAAAAGCCAAAACGCTCTTAAGCCTTAGCTCCTCCCAGCTATCTCCATTTGTGATGGGGCTCTGGAGCCCTTCTTGCAGAAGATGTGGGGCTGCTTCTGTCACCCATCAGGTTTCCTACCTTTATTTATTCCTCCAACTTAGAAATAAGAGGAGTGTGTGTGTGTGTGTGTGTGTGTGTGTGTGTGTGTGTGTGTGTACTGCTTGCAATGCATCTGAAAGCCAGACAGTGATTAAGGATGACAGAAGAAGAATTGATGCCTTTGAGCTGTGGTGCTGGAGAAGAGTACTGAATATTTCATGCATGGACTTCCAAGAGAACAAACATGTCTGTCCTAAAGAAAGTGAAACCAGCGTGCTCCCTGAAGACAGGGATGGTGAAACTCCATCTCACTTTGGGAAGGTTGTCTGGAGAGGCTGGTCTTTGGAAAAGGACATCATGCTTGGAAAGGTGGAGGAGGATGAGCACAGGAGAGGAAGACCCTGGACAAGATGGATTGATACAGTGACTGTAACATAAGGTCAAGAGTGTGAGAGATGATGAGGTTGGCTTAGGATAGGACATGTTCAGAGGCATTGTTAATAGGGTCATTATAAATAAATTGTCCTCTGAGCACTTCCTTATATTCTGGCAAGGGAAGGTGTTCAGAAGTACATCTTTTTTCTTCTTCTTCTTGTGTGCCTCAGTCTTTGA